GTTTCCGGGTTGGTTGTGCAGTGTCATAACCTCTATGCCACCGTCTTCCCCATGTGAAACGCACAAAGACAAAGATCCCCCTTGTAGCCTGCACATACTATTGGGGAAAGTGCTGTTAGCGAGCACCTACTAAGGCTGAGACGGCACACGAGGGGGTGCGAGGCCAAAACCACGTTCGGCCGCCTTTGTCTCCCCAGTGGCGATGTTTACACACCGCACCAGGTACTCATTTGAGGCTGAGTCGACCTAGGGGAGGCCCAGGACCGGTTCAGATAATCGTCACTGGGTGTTGGCCGTGTGCGGGAATCGAACCCGGGTCCTTGGGTTCATATTGCAGCGCGCTAACCACTACACCACCGCTCCAAACACACACACACGCACACAGGCACACAGGATCTACTACGCGTTTTAAATGGAAGCAGTGCCGCTCGTGTGCACGCACGCACACGCGGCAGCCGATCGCCAATTGTCCCGTGCATGTGGCGGTGTGTAAACAACTTCATTCGCAACTTCTTTGAGAAGGTCGGTCACCGTGACGAGGCGGACCGCGACTGATGCATGGGAAACTCTCCAGTCGGCCAATCTGCGGTACGCAAGGGACACTCTGACAGTGAATTTGTTTCGAGGTGACCCCGGGTGGCTCGGAGGTCAAAGCATCGAGCCTGCACCGATGAGTACCTGGGTTTGAATCCAGGCAGCTGCCTGGGATTCAAACCCGGGTTCTCAAGCATAGCGAACTGATGGCCTCAGCCTGGTCACCAACGATTAACATGACCGTAGACTTACACGGAGTCCCATTGACTCACATCGACTGAGTCGTGATTTCACCGGGTTTCTCAAGTGTAGTTAGCTGATGTGTCTCGTAGAGTCTCATAGAGACCGTCAGCTGATGACCTGTACCAATTTGCTTCTGCACTTAACTTGGACACATTTTTAGCGCTGATAATTAAAAGTAACCGTTGCCACTGCGAGTTGATGGACCATTTCCCTTTGTAGCAGCATGGGTGGGAAAGTACTACCTGCGTGGAAGGGTAGCTCTGTGATACCTGATTCCGTGGGTCGTCGCCCTCTAACATGAAGGTGCCACGGTGGAGAAATGTTAACTTCCTCGCCTAGTATACAGGGGGTCGTGGGTTCGATCCCGACCCTGACAATGACTGTATATTTGGAGTTTGTGTGTTCTCCCTGTGGCCATGTGGATTTTTCTCCGGGTCCCCCGGTTTTTCCCTCCACATTTAGAATCAACATCACGCGTTTTGAAGATTTGGCTGCTATAAATGTCCACGTGATGTTAAGTCACTTCGTTGAGTTATCATGTCTGATAGCCAGGTCGCTACTCAAAAACAAGAGCTGTATAGCTCGGTGGGCCTTACCTGGTAAAATAAAAAAAAAATAGTTTAGAAGGGTCCGTTCACTCTGCGAGAGCTCCGAATGGATTTTTCGTGTCGTGATGCGACGCCGAAAACACAATCGGGATAAATATCACGGTGGAAAAAAAAACGACGTATTTAATATCGTCAATTTCTCATGGGGGTTCTCACTGAGGGTGTGCACCGGGAAACTTCACCGTCCCAACACCGCCAAGCGGCAAACGCGCCGCGATTACTCGGCACCCAGGTGCACGTTTTGGGTTTGCCACCTTTATTGGGGCAAAATAACCGGCACGTAACATTGTCGCAAGAGACGAAGAATATCTGACAATGCATTGAGGGGGGGGGGGGGGGGGGGGAAGAGAGCACCCCCACGCGTGCGAGCATTGACTGGGAGTGCTGTCTTATTATTATTATTACTCGACCGACAGAAATTGGGCACAAAAGGAACTGAACGTTCCGGGGAACATAGATTTCACCGGAACCATCCTGGCAACACTAGTTTTGGTGCATCGCTCGCCGTGCTCTGTTGCTGAAGCGGTGATACACCGGCGCGGGTTTGTCGATTGGCTGCGCCGGGTGGAGGAGGGTGCACGACACACAGACACCAGACACACTTTTGCTGACGCGGCTATTTGACCCAAACGTGAAATGCGACGTCTCCGCACGGTTGGTGCTCACCCGATGGATGAATAAGATTTACGCGTTTAGATCCCACTTAAGATATCCAAAGAACAACCGATGCCAAGGAATGTGCAAGCGAATTGAAAACACGACATCAAAAATACAATCACCCTCAAAGTGTTTCCCCTGTGTATATAGTGTCGAAGGTTGATTACCCGTTGTACATGTAGCTCTGTTGTTATTGCTCTACGGCTATACCTGTTACATGTATTTATATCACAAATGTATGTACAGTACTTAATGACAAATGTACTTTTTATTTTCATTTTATATCGTATTGCCATAATACGAATTGCCGTTTTAATATATTTGTTGTATCTCAATGAATGAAAAAAATATATATAATCGAATAATGGAAATATACGTTTTAAATTTGTATTTTACAATTTATATACTTTTAGTAACTACGACAGTTTTTTTCTCTCCCCTGTATGGTATACTGTGTGTTTACAGTAATGTATGAAACAAAGTATAATTAAAAAATAAAGGCATCTTACTCTCGGAACACAATTGAATTTCAGTTTGCAATTTATTTTGGATACAGTCTTATGATAATTGATCCGCATACAATCGTACAAAGTCTATATGCATACATTTACGTTGTATTGATATTGCATATACGTGACGGATAAGATCAAGCTCATGTGCGCGAGCAAGATTGATTGCAATATAACAGGATCAAACTAAACTGTGTAAAACTATTTAAACTTTAAAATATATATTTGACCAGGCAAGGCCCACTGATCTAAGCAGCTCTCTTTTTTAGAAGCGACCTGGGCCACAAATGATAGCTCAACGAAGTGGCTTATCACGTGGAAATGTATAGCAGCCAAATACTCTAAACGCGTGATTCTAAATGTGGATGGAAAAACCGGAGGACCCGGAGAAAAATCCACGCGACCGTGGGGAGAACATGCACACTCCAAATATACAGCAGGCGTCAGGGTCAGGATTCGAATCCACGCCCTCCTGCATACCAGGCGAGGGAGTGAACATCTCGCCACCACGGATCAGGAGGAAAGGCAACAAGCAATCGAGTGGCCTTCATCGAGCAGTGGATCGGCAATGGCTCATTCATGACCGTGGTCAAAGCGTTGCTAAAATGACAGCAGTGCAGTTTATTCAGCACATAAAAAAAAATGCTTATATAATTACGTATAAAGCTTAGCAAAGAGATTCAATGGCAATAAATTGTAAAGACAGACGTAAATCCGTACAATGTACGTGCAAGTGCATGAAGTAGATTCGACGGTAACGGAGTTACACAGGCCGGTGTGATGCGCATCGGAGACAACTTCATCTCCGCGTCGAATGGTGCACTAACTTTGGTCGGGTAATTCCGTGACCGTACAATCTCCCAAATATATAGATACACTCAGTATAGGCAAAGGGTGTTCAACATTGTATTGCCATCTTTATAAATCGGTACATCATTATTCATACGGCGGACATGATTCTTTTACCGAGCAAACGATCCTTACATTTCTTACACCTTAATATTTCTCACGTTAATTTCTTGCACATCACAGAAAATCAAGCTTATTTCACTCACGCTCGCTATCGATAAAGCAACATTCATTTTCATAAAATGTCCACGAAAGGCACGAAAGGCTCCTTTAATTAAAAAAAAACCGCGCAGATGCATCGGGCTCCAAAGGCTAAAGGCGCAGCCCCGCAAGTGCTTGGCTTGCGCCACTGCTGACGCAAGTGGCTTCCGCTGGAGGGAGCTCTCGAGAAGACTATTTCAAGGAACGTTTGGCCTACTCTTCCTCTGCACTGGCCAGACGTCTCGGGGAACGTATGAGTAACTCACACGACACTCCAACAACAATGACACAGAGCCCCCGCATAGCCTTAACAAACTGTTGGGGTGAGTGCTGTTCGCGAGTAGCACCTATGAAGGCCGGCACGGCGCACGAGGGGGTGGGTGGGCAGCACCACGCCCGGCCGCCTTTGTCTCCCCAGGGACGATGTTTACACACCGCACCAGATACTCATTTGAGGCTGAGTCGACCTAGGGGAGGCCCAGGACCGGTTCAGAAAATCGTCACTGGTGTTGTCTGTGAGCGTGAATCGAACCCGGGTTGCCGGGTTTATAGCGCAGCGCGCTAACCGCTACACTACAGCTCCCCACAACACACATACAACTCCTGCCGATCGACTAACCGTGGTGTCCTCCGTTAAACCGCTGGGTGGTCATCAGCAGAGGGACGTGGGGGCGGGGGGGGTGGTGGGAGTTTAACAAACTTTCCGAAAGCATCAACTGCTGAGCCGGATGCTTGAATGGAACCTTTGGCCTCTTTTAAGTCGAGCCCGCTGACCATTACACCGCTGTGGCTCCAAGCACGTTGACGAAATTTCGTGCTCGGATAAACAAACGTCGAAGAGACCAGCGCAGGCCGCTGTTCCGACACTGAGGGCCGTGCAAGGAGATTCCCGGAAATCTACAATTAAAAACTGCGAATGATTTTTTTAATTTTAGCAGGTAAGGTCCACTGAGCTATATGGCTCTCTTTCAGAAGCGACCTGGCTATCACAAATGAGTGCTCAACGAAGTGGCTGATCACGTGCAAATGTACAGAAAGCAAAATACTCTAAATGCACGTTGGTTCAAAATGTGGAAGGAAAAAAAAACAGAGGACCCGGAGAAAAATCCACGCGAGCACGGGGAGAGACAGTGACACGCAGATTCCAAATATTCAGCAAGCGTCGGGGTCGGGATCGAACTCACGACCTCCTGCGTACCAGGCGAGGTAGTTAACATCTCCTAGCCACCGTGATGATGATGAGAGAGAGAGAGAAACCGCAAACTCCAAATATACAGCAGCAGGGGTCAGGGTCGGGGTCGAACCCACGACCTCATGCGTACCAGGCGAGGCAGTTAACATCTCCTAGCCACCTTGATTATGATGAGAGAGAGAGAGAGACACTGCAAACTCCAAATATACAGCAGCAGGGGTCAGGGTCGGGATCGAACCCACGACCTCATGCGTACCAGGCGGGGGAGTTAACATCTCTCTCCGCCATCATCTCGACGGCGGCTGCTTCAAACGAGGCCCGAGTCCGCGATCCCCAGCCGCCTCTGCAAGAGCGTGGCGGCTCTCCTCTGCTGCTGCTGCTGCTGCGTCGTCTCCTCCTCCTCCGCCGCGCCGGGCGTCCTGCCCGAGCCGTCCGCGGGCGCGACCTCCCCGACGCGGCGCCGCGGCTCTTCCGCGAATATTCGCGCGGACAGCTTGGCCCGGCCCGACACGGGCTTGTGTCTCGCCGTGCCCTCGAGGGTCCGCCACGGCTCCGGATGTGGCGGACGGATTTGACCGGCCTGCTGGGCGCCGCCGCCGCCGCCGCTCTCTCTTTCGTACGCGCCTCGGAAATCCGCGGCCGGTCTCGAGACACCGCCGGTGAGAAAGAGCCGTCCGAATCGTGGCGAGTTGTTGGTTTTATTCTTCTTCATTCCCGTAGCTTGAACGACAAGGGGATTCAACGAACGTTAGGCGAACATTTGTGTGCGCGTGCGATACCGCATTCATTGGCAGCGGTGCATTTAGGACAAATAACTAAAATCTAAAATCGACACGTCCGTTCATAACAAGTGCTGTGAAGCGAAAATGTGTACGCGATGGGCAACGTTTCAGGAAATGGCCCTTTTTCTCTCTGTCATGATGAAGGGCCATTGCCTGAAACGTTGTATATTATTTATATACTCTCTTCCTTTTGGGGCAGTGATATCGGTGGTCGTTAAGCGCTTCAATATGCGCTCGGGAGAGGAGTACACTCTGCACCAGGATGAAGGGAAAGTGCAGCTTGCTGCGACAGGCATTGGATTCGCATCCAGAGGTCAGCGACCGAACGGACACACCCAGAGCCAGATGATGGCGATCATGATGAAGATGATGAGACTGCTCATTGTTTTTTTCGGTAAAGTCACGTATGTGACCTACGTGACTTTACCGAAAAAACCAATGAGTAATTTTATGCAGTCACGAAAGCTTTAATACTTTATTATGATGAGACTTTGTGTTGACGTTGAAGGATTGATTGTGGACTTTGCAGCAACTGTGGGATCTGGCAGAAGGAAGCGATGGTTAGGTGTGGTGACATAAACTTCCCTTGTACTGCATTGAACATTGTACTCTTGTCCATAATAAAGGTTTTTGGGTTAGATCGCGTTATTTATAAATGTGTCGTAACAGACAACCAAAGTGTCATCCACATGTGTAAACCAAAAAGATGGTTTTAATCGAGGCAAGTGCTCTTATTTCAAAGTTTTCCATGTACAGATTTGCTATAGCAGGAGATAAAGGAGAGCCCATTGCTGCTGCTTCCTTTTGTTTAAAGAAATCCCCTCTCCATAAGAAGTAAGTGTTATTTAAACAATGGTCAGCAAGTTAAATGATGACGTCACCCTGCTGCTCTATTTAAGACCGGGAGCAAGTGAGGGCTTTACCATTCTGGCGAATTGCCCGATGATGTTGGATGTAATTGCCAGCGAAACGTCGTACTCAAACTGTAAATGTTGTGGATTCACTCTTCAACACACCGGTGGGCTAAAGTAGTGAACTAATTGTCTTTTGTCAACGTGACACTTTTTTGCTGATTGGCCGTGTCGGGTGGTGGAGGGTTACGACACATTTATAAATAATGCGATCTAACCCAAAAGCCTTTATTATGAATAATATTGGTCGCGAAAGCCTACATTTTAAACTGATTGTACTCTTGTACTGGATTCAACAATTGGACCCTTGTACTGAATTATACAGCATTGAACCATTGTTCTGCAGTCTACTGCAGTGTACCTTGTACTGCATTGTACTGCACCTCCGATTAGCGGGGTTGGCTATGTACGGTGCGAAAGAAGTTCAACATACACAACGATTATGACGACTTCTTACCCTTATGACCTCGTTTACACAGCAATGGGAAGGCAAAGCAAAAACATCGTTGACGAGCGTATCACACTCATCTCAAATTACAAAGCCATTTAAATTGAACATTATATCTTTGCTAATCAAGACTAAGGGTCATTACTGTTAGGAAATTATATTTATTTATAGTTCTAATTAGTGATCATATCATTCGATCGGTGCGTGGGGTCTCATGGAGAAATACACACACAAACAAACGCATCATAACAAGAACTAAGCGGAGTTCTTAACAATCACATTAGTGTCAAAGCTTAGAAGTGCACTTATTATTGTCCTGTCCCTAAGGGGATCATAATAGTGCTTATTATGGAGGCTTCTGTGTAGGGGTTTTTTGCAGTTATTCTGCTGCTATGATGCTCCCACCCCCGCTAGTGCTCGGGTTGTCTCGTCTCGTGATTTTTTTTTCGCCACGATGTCCGACGTTTCGTTCCGCGTGCTGGGAGCTTCTTCAGCAAACTCAAGATCAAGTTCGTGAACAAGCTGCCAGCAACGTGGCGGAGTTACAACTCGAACCAGTCCCCTCGCTCGCTCGCTCACTCGCTCGCTGCGTCACAATCACCCGCGTGTGTATGATGCAACATTTCATAATTTAGAACGGTTCATAATTCGCCCCATTCTTACGTCAAGGTCACCACGGAGGCACTCTCTCATGCAGACGAGGAAACTTTGGAAGTCGAGGCCAATGTTGCTTCGCGCTTTTACCCAATTATATTTCAGCTCGTTTCAAGACGGTGTTATTAACGAATGTGTTTAGTGTTTATTTTTTTTCCCGTTGTTGTTGCTGGTGCTCGTGGCACCACTGCCAACGGCAGTATCACCAACTCCTGTGTTTAATTTGATCCAATTAAGTAATTTACGGATACATTTTGTTTAACTTGGGACCGAGACGCTGGCACGCATGGACCTAATCTTTTTTTTCTTCAAATCAGGTGACGGGGGTTCTTTATGACACACCGTGCAGCGAGAGGTGCGTGTGTCATACACAGCGGCAGTATTTACCGGGGTGGCCTACAGCTCTCGAACTGTGAAGCGGCGCGCCTAATCAGCCGGAGCTTGGTGTCGATAGAGCGCCGTTCACACGAAGAATAACCCGACACTTGACAAACCCGTCAACAAAAAAAAACCCTTAACAGATGGAAAAAAAAAGACCGGAACAAATAACATTTTATGAGAATTAAAGGGACTCCGAATTTCTATTTTGACTGGAGGAATCCGATGTGCCATGAAGCTCTTTTTCACAGATGTTCGGCAGGGGCGAACCAGCGAGTTACAACAAAAATGAGCAAGTTACGCAATCAATATCAAAGGCACAAAACCTACACAGACGGGGTATACACGTGAAACCAAATATGTTCTAGGACGGGACTTAGAAGACTCCGCTAAACGTGCTGTCACCTTTCCCAAACCTCTCTCCTGCTTCGTGAATTCCCTGCGACCGAAGAGGCAAGCAGAACCCTCAATGGACTGCAACTTAAAGTGGAATTGCCAGCAACATTTGTCACCACATTCTCAATGTTCGCGAGGGTCAACAGAAGTGTGACCAGTTACAAGCTAATCACTCAGCTATTTCAATGCAAAATTCTATGCTAATTCCTTTGTCAAGGGGTGCCTCTGCGGATGTGTATGCTTTAACTTAGCTATTTCAATGCTAAATTCTATGCTAATTCCTTTATCAAGGGGTGCCTCTGCGGATGTGTATGCTTTAACTTTTAACATAGCTATTTCTGTGACCAGTCACAAGCTAATCACTCAGCCATTTCAATGCTAAATTATATGCTAATTCCTTTGTCAAGGCGCTTTGTTTCCTCTCACACAGCTTAAAGGTCGTGATCTGAACGTGGCTCTTTCACTCCAGCGCTGTCCTAGCAGACAGTCTCGTCCCTTCACCTGATGAAGGCCGCTTGTGTTGTGGCCGAAACGTCGTGAGAATATTATTGTGTTATTTTATTTTATCAATTTATTATTTTATTCTCATTCTACGTGACTTTACCGAAAGAACCAAAGAAGAGAAAATAGATCCTCTATTTTTTTTCCTCATTTAACATTGCCCGCTGAAATGATGTGTTGCTTCTGCTAGAAAAAAAAGTAAATGCTGCTTTGGGTGTGCTTATTGTTTAACACGGCATCGACATTTGAAAAAAAATATTGATATCATATGTAGCCAACGTGCGTAGATGTATTAAATATGTTAAAGCATTTGCAAGCGCACTGCAATTTCCTTTTGAAGACGTCCCCCAGTTTACAGATTTGGGTAAGTTAGAGGTATCGAAGAAGCTTGGTGTTCTGTTGTGGGGCCAAAGCCTCGTTCTTCAATCATGAAGTCTTCCGACTGCAGCTGTACAAAGTACAAGTTCGTCCTCAGCTGCAATCCTTCTGCTGTCACATCGGGGGGGCCCCCCCCCCCCCCCCCCAGTTCCTACGTCACTCTCCTTGGCATAACTCAACATCGTAGCAGCCTGGGTGACTGCTGTTCCAGCACTCACCAATGAACTCCTATCACTCGCTCACCGCTGGTCAAGTCGCCTCCTCCTCATCACCGTGCTATCGCCACTACCGCGGTTGTCGTGCCTGTGAACTGAACACATCGATTCCTCCGAAGACCTGACCTTCTCGTCTCATCCGCACCGCCATGCACCAGCCACGTTGCGGCGAGTCACACCGGCCGCTTCTCGATCTGCTTCTTCCCCGCTTAACCTTGGAAGGAAGCCTCCCGTCTATCCCTTTCCACAGGCGTCTCACAACAACTATTGTTCAATTCCACGAACGCTTCACACTCTCTCCTGTCGGTTACAACTTTGATGGTGCCGTTTCCTGCCGGCCGTTTCGGTGCCTTTGGGCCCGACTCGAAAGAAAAAAAACCCGTGGTTCAAATACCAACTTGCTCAACCGCAATGCAGTAGGCATCTAACGTGTGGGTGTTTTGTTTATTATGCGAAACAAGTCAAGGTTGCTTCGTCAAAGGGTACCTTTTTTCATATCACAAGCCCTTGCAGCCCTTACTTACATTTTAAGCTGCATGGGAAAATGCGCAAAACAAAGCAAATGAAAAACCACCCACACTAACGTTCCTTTTATTGGCGACTTGAACATTTAAGAATGTTAATATATATAAAAAGCTACATGGGTTGCTGGAATACCCTGCAAGCTAAACAACGGCAAAAGCCCTTTCGTTGGCCCGAAGGAAACTTTGTCCGCATAAATCAACGGGAAGAGGGCCTTCATGCGTTGCTCTCATACTCGCTGGGCCAAGCAAACATGGCAAGCAGGTCTAGCTGGTCACACACACACAGAAAGATGGCATGCAGGTCTAGCTGGTCACACACAGAAAGATGGCAAGCAGGTCTAGCTGGTCACACACTCACAGAAAGATGGCAAGCAAGTCTAGCTGGTCACACACACACAGAAAGATGGCATGCAGGTCTAGCTGGTCACACACACACAGAGATGGCATGCAGGTCTAGCTGGTCACACACTCACAGAGAGATGGCATGCAGGTCTAGCTGGTCACACACTCACAGAGAGATGGCATGCAGGTCT